AATGTCTGTGTGCATGTGTGTAAAACAACAAACTGACGATTCATATATAATCACTTGTAATTGTATATACATTGTTGTGATTAATTGTGGCTGGAACAATAATGTAGCTGTAAAAATTGTTTCCTTCTGAAATTCAGCATGACTAGATAGACACGGTGAGTTTGTCTTTACTATACATGTCTATACACGCTAGATGTGATCACTTCATAGTAACAATCCTGTCAGATCGTCCATCCTTTGAGAGAGAGTGTAACGTTACAGCTCGGCCGATCTGGTTTCGTGGTTAAAGTTAACCTCTTCGACATGTTTCCGTGTTGTTGTCGTTGCTCAGCAATGGCATGGACGCGATGTTGTCTGGGGGTGTGGCTAAAGGAGAGTGGGACGGTGGGCGGGGCTCGGGGGGGTGACTGAAGGTGGTGACTGTAGTTCTGACCTCAACTTTTTACAGAAGTCACAACGGTTCGTGAAAAATCACAGCTACTTTAAGCAGGCTGTGTGCATTTTACTGTGGACTGACTGTTTTGAAACTTATATGGTAGTTACATTAGACCTCAGTTATCATGAAAAATCAGTTTTGACAATATGGGACCTTTAATCTTAGAATTCTGACTTTTTCCTCCATTTCCGCAGTTCTGAGAAAAAACTGAATTACCCGATATAAGACATTTTTTCTCTCACAATTCTTTTTTGATCTGCCAAGGAATTAAAAGTGACTTTTAAATAAAAATTCTGACTTTTTTTCTTGCAATTGCACGTTCAAATCTAACAATTCCGACTTTTCGTCTCAGGATTGCGCTTTTGTATCTCACAATTCTTAGTGAATATCCCCCAATTCTGACTTTTTATCTTTTTTCTTGCAATTGCAAGTTCAGCTCTCACAATCCTGAATGAATACCTTGCAATTCTCAGAATATCTCTTTCTCAGAATTGTGAGATCGCAGTCGCAATTACCTTTTTTTTTTTATTCCATGGTGGAAACACAGATATAAACATAGCTTCCATAGATTTGACCCAATTTTGTTGTTTGTTGTACCTAGTGTCTTTTTAGACCGTATTGAATCCAATTAGGCTGAATTTGACCTGCGCCATAAAGATTTTTTCCCAGATTTTTAACATATTAGGTAAATATTCATCTCATCATGCAGCTGCATCTCAGCAAGTTTGCATTTCCCACACGAGTTTCCATGCAAGAATATTAGTGCTGTCAAACTATTAATCGCATTCAAAATAAAAGTGTTTGTTTACATACTATATGTGTGTGTACTGTGTATATTTATTATGTATACATAAATGCACACATACAGCATATATTTAGAAAATATCTACATGTATATATTTATATACACAGACATATATTATGTAAACAAACACTTATTTTGGATGCGATTAATCGTTTGACAGCACTAAAGAATACGGAATAGAAGTTGAACAAAGCAGTTTTAAAGGCTTTTACCTGGTTGTTGGCTATGGTGTGGTACCAGTAGAAGAGGCGTGAGGTGATGAAATACGCCACAACTACATCCACGCTGTAATGCTCATGCGCTATCAGGATGCAGACCACGCCCACCGCGCTTAGCAACCAGCAGATCACATGATAGCAACGCCATAGCAACGAGCGGGGCGAGTCTACCACACAAAACAATTCATTTCAAAACATAAACCGAGTTAAAACAAACTACAGTGTGAATGCGAAGTGCACCGAGACCCGATGGAAATGATGATGATGATGGTTTCTCATACTCACATTCCTGGATGAAGAGGAAGGTGAGGGTCAGCATGACTGTGTGGCCGCTGTATAGGAAGTCTCCACACATGAGATGAGAGCCAGTGATGGACAAACCTCCTCCAGACACCAGCTGCAAAACACGCTCGATCTTGCTGTGAGAATCACCGTAGAGCTACAGACAGAAGCAGCATGAGATAAAAGCACCAAAGCTTCCCAATTCAGCATTGCACAGGGGGGGAAAATAACAAATACATCACGGCTAATGCATTTGATACAGTCATGGATCTCACAATTCTGACTTATTTCTCGCAACTGCGAGTTTATATCTATGCAATTGCAAGTTACTATTTGCGATATGTCAAAAAAAAGTCAGTACAAACGACTCAAACTCAAATGCAGATGGAGTTCATATAAAGCAACATTCACTGTGAACTGAGATACTAAAAGCACTGGATCATGAGCTGCTCGCGTGTAAATGAACACAGTGACGCACTTCATTCTGAAACATGCAGCGCATTTATTTATTTAATTAAGTCATAGCCTTTGTGATTTAATAATCGCATTAAGTCATATCATGATTTAAGTTTTATTTATTAATCGCACAGCCCCTCTCACTGAACTAAGGATGTCAAAACGGCTGAAAAACTAATTTCAAATTTTGTACTTAAATATTATCAATATTCAAATTATATTCTAATTTAAAAGGCATAATTTCAATTAGGGGGGAAAAGCTTTTGTCTTCTCTCCTGAGGCCACAAGAGGGCGCATCGAGCTTAATATTACTAATGCACGTTTATTCAAATCATACGACCATCTTTGAAAAAAGTGCATAATGTTTCAAATAATGTTTATAAACCAAATATAATTAAGTTGCTTAAACAATTAACAAAACAGCATCATGCATGTATGCATAGTTTAATACAAAGGACCAAAAACCAAATCACAAAGAGTACATTCTTCATTTAAAAGCATGAGATGCAGCGGGATGGCGGACAACCACCATAAAGTCTCGAGACGTGTTTTTTTAAAAGTTGAACTTGCATTAATTTTACATGGCTTTCTAAACATGCGTGCGAGACGCGAGTGCAAAGCTGATAGATGTCCCTCTAGAAAATGCAATAAATATGCGTTCTGTGTGAATGGCTTGGTTTCGGTTTTGCCGTAAACAAGATATTCTCTGCATTGATGTTCTCTTTTCCCGCAACATTTTGAACGAACAACGCAGCAGCGCCTCATCTAGTGGCTTCAACTGGATAAGCTATTAAAAAACATTAAAATGCAACGACACTTCGGATCTTGTGTCCACTGATAAGCTGCCTGACGCACACCTAAAATTTGAACACAATGTTTTTGCATTTTTTGACAGCCCTACACTGAACGCTTACCTGTGCTTGAGGAAGAGCCACTGAATGAACCACAGAGCCACGAGGATCATCCCGTTTACCTCGGTGACAGAAAACGCCCACTCCACACGCGGCACATAATCGAAGAACTTGTCCGGTAACGGCGGGCTGACGGATTTATCCGGGACTCTCTCGTGGACGACGGTGATCATGACGGTAGTAAGGATGAGGTTAAATCCGGCCCAGATGAAGGCGATTCCCGTCTTCCACCATTCCGACGGCAGCCGGGAGCCGCTGGACTTCGGGACGATGATGCGAATGTAGTCCTGGTTTTTCCGCAAGGCTTTACGGAAACTCCGCGCCAAACGCGTCGGCTTGCTGTTGTCTGACTTATCGTCTACCTGATCGCCACTGGGCGTGACCATAGAGGGGCGTGTCCGTCCGGTGGGCGTGGCCTGGGGGCGTGGCCTATCCTCAATCGTCACCATCACATGGTAGCCACCGCTGGGTTTATCATCTTCTCGTTCGTCCAGAAGATGAGATGCTGCCATCGCTCATACACTACAACTAACACAAAAACACTTAAAATTAAGATTAAATACAATATTTTATACTTAATGTAACATTAAGTGTGAAATATAATTAATATAATGCAATTAATTAGGCACACTGGCCCCACCCCCAGACCTGTACGTCATCTTACATTTAATAAAATTGACTGTTGACAAATATAATGCAGGGCAACAACTCCATAAATGCAGGTATGCCCTAAAATTCAAGATATTGGGGCAAAAAAGAACTAAGGATGTCAAAACGGCTGAAAAACTAATTTCAAATTTTGTACTTAAATATTATCAATATTCAAATTATATTCTAATTTAAAAGGCATAATTTCAATTAGGGGGGAAAAGCTTTTGTCTTCTCTCCTGAGGCCACAAGAGGGCGCATCGAGCATAATATTACTAATGCACGTTTATTCAAATCATACGACCATCTTTGAAAAAAGTGCATAATGTTTCAAATAATGTTTATAAACCAAATATAATTAAGTTGCTTAAACAATTAACAAAACAGCATCATGCATGTATGCATAGTTTAATACAAAGGACCAAAAACCAAATCACAAAGAGTACATTCTTCATTTAAAAGCATGAGATGCAGCGGGATGGCGGACAACCACCATAAAGTCTCGAGACGTGTTTTTTTAAAAGTTGAACTTGCATTAATTTTACATGGCTTTCTAAACATGCGTGCGAGACGCGAGTGCAAAGCTGATAGATGTCCCTCTAGAAAATGCAATAAATATGCGTTCTGTGTGAATGGCTTGGTTTCGGTTTTGCCGTAAACAAGATATTCTCTGCATTGATGTTCTCTTTTCCCGCAACATTTTGAACGAACAACGCAGCAGCGCCTCATCTAGTGGCTTCAACTGGATAAGCTATTAAAAAACATTAAAATGCAACGACACTTCGGATCTTGTGTCCACTGATAAGCTGCCTGACGCACACCTAAAATTTGAACACAATGTTTTTGCATTTTTTGACAGCCCTACACTGAACGCTTACCTGTGCTTGAGGAAGAGCCACTGAATGAACCACAGAGCCACGAGGATCATCCCGTTTACCTCGGTGACAGAAAACGCCCACTCCACACGCGGCACATAATCGAAGAACTTGTCCGGTAACGGCGGGCTGACGGATTTATCCGGGACTCTCTCGTGGACGACGGTGATCATGACGGTAGTAAGGATGAGGTTAAATCCGGCCCAGATGAAGGCGATTCCCGTCTTCCACCATTCCGACGGCAGCCGGGAGCCGCTGGACTTCGGGACGATGATGCGAATGTAGTCCTGGTTTTTCCGCAAGGCTTTACGGAAACTCCGCGCCAAACGCGTCGGCTTGCTGTTGTCTGACTTATCGTCTACCTGATCGCCACTGGGCGTGACCATAGAGGGGCGTGTCCGTCCGGTGGGCGTGGCCTGGGGGCGTGGCCTATCCTCAATCGTCACCATCACATGGTAGCCACCGCTGGGTTTATCATCTTCTCGTTCGTCCAGAAGATGAGATGCTGCCATCGCTCATACACTACAACTAACACAAAAACACTTAAAATTAAGATTAAATACAATATTTTATACTTAATGTAACATTAAGTGTGAAATATAATTAATATAATGCAATTAATTAGGCACACTGGCCCCACCCCCAGACCTGTACGTCATCTTACATTTAATAAAATTGACTGTTGACAAATATAATGCAGGGCAACAACTCCATAAATGCAGGTATGCCCTAAAATTCAAGATATTGGGGCAAAAAAATGCCCCTGTATGAGTTTTTGTCTCATATTTATATCATACGATAAGCGATATCACACAAGTACCGAGTTTAATATCACGAGTTTAAATTAGATTTTAGCAACATTTAGTTTCTGAATGAATCCTCATTTTGAACGAATCGTGTGAGCCAATGTTTCAAAGGCTCATTCATTGAGAGAGCCGTTAACTTAATTCCTGAATGAATCAGCCGTTTGAACTAATTGAATGAATGAATGAATCACAAAGACATTTGACGCCACTTGCTGGCGGTTTAGTTTCTTCTTTAGAGTATCATTTCACTTATTAAAAAAAGAAATAAACATTAATTAACATTCTTATATATTAATATTAACTGTAAAACACTATGCAATAAGCATTTAAGTTGTCAAACTGCTGGCACATAATCTCAATAGCAAAAATTAGATGTGTTGCCAGTTAATTGTTTTTAATTCAATGCTTTAAAAATTAACAAACAAGGCATATATAGTTAAACCACTAAAGATGATAAATCCTTTGCCTCTGATTGAGGAAAAATAGGTAATTATACAGCACAACAAAACTTACAATAATAATAATAATAAAGTAAATAAATAGCTAGATCACAGGTAAATAAATTTTCTCGCTGCAATAAATGAACCTTCTTGAGGTTCGCTTATAAAATGCAACAGTGGATAAAACAACACAAGCAAGATTAACAGTGCATGAATCAAACACTTTCTGATATGTTTTCTCTCTATATGACGTTTTCTTGTACTCATGAAAATGCAAATAAATTTCCATAATCATCATATATATTATATATCATATTAATTGTATTTATTTGTTATATGTATATTATATTGTATTGAATATTAGTAAGTTGTATTATATTAAGTATATATTCTATTATTATATGCAATGTATAAATAATGCATAAAAACAGAATATTCTGTTTTGAGTTAATTCTGTTGAATATTCTATGTGAGGCAACAGTTCTAAAAATGAATGATTATATCTTAATCACAGTGTACACAATGTTTATTTATCTGTTGACTCATACATCCGCTTTGGTTTGCTGAATCAGAGAAGGAGGAGGAGGAGGATGATGCAGACATGTTATGCATAAGTTATGAATAATGTCTGCTGTGTTTGAGTGTTTTCTCTGCTGTTGGTCAGTGGAGGACACAACAACCTGATCAAACCTCTGTGGTGTTTTGTTTATTGACCCTCTAACTCTAGCACTCTCTACTCTAATTCTATTTGATTTATTTTTTCTTTTATTTGACCCTCTATCACTTGCACCCTCTATTCGTTTTCTGAGTGCTATAACACTAGCTTTTTAAATTATTTTTCTACTTGTTTTCTTTGTATATGTGTTTGTATATAGATATATATATATGCATATAATTGTTTTTTTAACTTTGCTACGTGTCCTGCATTAAGCTAACTGAGACTTGTTATAGCACTTGCGTATCATTGCTCTTTTGTTGATGTTGACGCCCTTATATGTGGCCACGCCCCTCGAATCTGTGCACAGGTTGGGCTGTTAACGCTCATCTAACTGCGTTTATGACTGGAAACGAGTCGCGTGTTCTGATGAGGCTCTTTCAGGGTAACTCTGGAAAGAGACTCTGTCGCTGGGCTGATGAGGCGGTGGGCGGAGTTAAGGGTTCCGTTCTCTCTTGATTGACAGCGCAGAGGAGGCGGGCCTCGGACCTTCACTGGCCGCACATTAAACACGACCACCAGACAGCCCACCAGCTGGAGGCACATGTGCACGTGTGTATCATATTCTCCTGAGCTCGTCTCTCTCTCTGGACTGCAGTGTTTGTCTGAAAGTCTGCAGTTTAGTCTCTGGACGGAGGGGCGGGGCAAGTGGGCGGGACGGTGGGCGTGGCTACGCGTCACACTCCAATATAGCGTCAAAGCAGTAAACAAAACATATGAAGCACCACTTACTCAAAAATACGTTTTTTAAAAAAAGTTTTTTTTTTTTTTTTTGCACTTTCACATTAAAAGTTTTAATCTAGTGCTGGTGTCCACATCAATTAAAAACAAAAAATAATTAATGGGCAACTAAGTGAAGTAAAATAAGATTTTATTTCAAAAAACACTCACCCACACACACACACACACATGTTGTGTTTCCAAGTTTTATGGGGACTCTCCATAGGCGTAATGGTTTTTATACTGTACAGACCGTATATTCTATTGCCCTACACCAACCCTACCCCTAAACCTACCCCTCACAGGAGACTTTCTGCTATTTCAGATTTTCAATACACTCCATTCTGTGTGATTTATAAGCGTTTTGAAAAGTGGGGACATGGGGTAATGTCCTGAAAAGTCACCTTCTCCTTGTAATACCTGTCATACCTTTGTCATTATACACATTTATGTCCTCATTTGTCACAAAAACGCGCACACACAC